TGGAATAAAATGCACTTTTTAAAATTCATTTTTGAAAAATGCACATTTTAAAAAAGAATTTATTTTGGAAAAAAATGCACTTTTTAAGTCATTTTTGAAAAATGCACATTTTTTCCAAAAGAAGCATTTATTTTTCAATAATGCACATTTTTTAAAAAAAAGAAATTTATTTGGGAAAAATGCACATCATTTGAAGAATTTTTTTTTTGAAAATTGCACATTTTCAAAGAGAAATTTTGGGGTTTTTTTTTGCAAATAATGCACATTTCCAACAAGTCCTAGTGACTAGGCAGGTTGGGGATGGGATGTACTTGAGCCAGGGATGTGTCTTACCTGTGCCCAGGTGAAGGGGGCGAGGATAGGATGCACCACTCCCCTTTTATTCTCTCTCTCTCTATTACTGACGTTATCTTTATTTCCTTTTCTTCTCCCTTCCCCCTCTCTCTCTCGATTGCAATGTCCCTAACCTCTCCTCTCCCTTTCGTTTCTTTTCCTTCCTTCCTTCCTTCCTTCCTTCTCGCCGTACACGCCCTGATGGATGACAGTCCTCCCTCTGCCGGGGAGCTCAGGCGGGGGCGCGCTCTCCGTCTCCCCGCACTCCGCCATGCGCGCCTCCGCCTCCCCGGGCGCAGCGCGCAGGCGCAAGATCCCCGGTACAACAACAACGACTGAATGAATCCAATATCTTTATTGATTTTTAGTGTTATTGTTATTCGGAGGACGTTTTTGTTCTTTCTTCAAAGAGGAAGCGTTTCAACGGCCGGGTTGTGATTTTTTTTTCCCCCTCCCGAATCGGGGCAAACCGTTGCCCCTCGTGCGGTTTTTGAACCAAAAAAAGGGCGGGAGGCACGCGCCCAACCGTCGCGCCAGCTGGAGCTTTCCCGCCCTTTAGCCCCACCCCCCACTCACGCTTCACCCTCATGAGGGACTTTTCTCCTTCATTTCGACGCCCTCCTCCTTCCCTCTTTTTCTCATTCTTCTAACCAACCCCCCAACAATTTTTTTTTTCCCTCTTGCATTTTATTTTTAAACTCCAACTTTTAAAAGTGCCCACCGTCCCCACAGGTTGACCAACCGGGCACATGGTCAATGCCCCTTTCGGGACAACGTCCCCCTTTTCTCTCTCACCCTCCTTTCACGTCAAAGGGGGAGGGTGGGGGTTTATCTCTCACCAGCCCCATACACCAACGTCTTCAGTGAAGATCTGTCACCTAGAGAGGGGTTATTTCTCGCCCATCTTTCTCCCAATTCAACAAGAGACCTTCCTGGCGAAGATTTGCCGCCTACAAAGGGTTTATTTCTTGTCCCCTTTCCCCCAACCCAATAAGGAGCATTCCTGACAAAGATTATGGGGGTATTTCTCACCCTTCTCTCAGCCCAATCCAAGAAGACACCATCCCGGTAAAGAGTTGTCACCTCTGGGAGGCATTTCTCGAAACTCTTTCCCCCGATCCAACAAGACGTCTGAGGAAGGGTCACTGGACCCGAAACATTAACTCCGATTTTTTTCACAGATGCTGCCGCACCTGCTGAGCTTTTCTAGCAAATTCTGTTTTTGTTCCCAACAAGACATCTTCCTGGCAAAGATTTGTCACCTAGAGGGGTGGTATTTCTCATCCCTCTTACCCCAAATGCAAAAAGATGCATTCCTGGTGAAGATTTGTCACCTATGAAGAGGTTTATTTCTCTCCGTTCTTTCTCCCAGCCCAACAAGATGCTTTCCTGCCTTTCTTGCTAAGAGTTGGCACTCATAGGCTTTACTTAACACTTTGCCCACCCTAACCTCCTCCAGCCCATGCGCCTTCCCCTCAAAGAGCGGTCATCTAGCGGCTACTTCACACACCTGTGTTCCCCCACCCTCACACCTGAATGCCAAAGATGCACCACTCAGATGATGCCTCGCGGGTGAAGAGAACGCCAGACAACGATTGTCTTTAGTGACTCTTGGGAGGGCGATGGAAGAGGAGCAGACATGAGTGTGTTGGCAGACAGGGCAGCTTGGGCGCCAGCCAGACCTTGCTCGGTTTCCTGGCACAGTGTGCCAACTCCCAGCGGCTTCTTGGTGGTTAAGATCAAGCCAAAGCTAGACTGCATGTCAATCAGTGATGTCCACCCGGAGCAAGATGGACAAGGGTTCGATTCCTGCCCTTCACTTGACCACCATCAATCAGTGAAGTCCACCCAGAGCAAGATGGACATGGGGCAGACCCCTGCCCTTCTCTAGACCACCATCAATCAGCAATGTCTACCCAGAGCAAGGTGGAAAAGGGTCAGACCCCTGCCCTTCTCTAGACCACCATCAATCAGCGATGCCTACCCAGAGCAAGATGAACAAGGGTCCGACCCCTGCCCTTCTCTAGACCACCATCAATCAGTGACATCTACCCAGGGCAAGGTGGACAAGGGTCAGACCCCTGCCCTTCTCTAGACCACCATCAATCAGCGATGTCTACCCAGAGCAAGATGGACAAGGGTCAGACCCCTGTCCTTCACTAGACCACCATCAATCAGTGACGTCTACCACGGCAAGACCCTCCCTCCAATAGAAGGCCAGCATAGACGTCTACCTTGAAGACTGGGACAAACAATTTTCCCAGTGACCAACTTGACAGAATGCCCTGCACTGGAACAACGACCTTCGATGAAACCCACCAGCTCTAGACCAGGATAAACAGCTAAGAAATGTTTCATTTTAAACAAATCAAAACATCAGCATCAGTTAATCAGAGCAAGTAATGATTCATAAAGACACGTAATGCCATGTCAAACTGTTCTCATCCTCAGTTGCAAAGTATCACTTTACATCAGGAGCCCAGGGCATCATCTGGACCCTCGCTCTTTAGCCTAACTAAGGTTTGTAAATTAAAGGTATCAGTGGGAATTTTCCATCAAAGGTCTTGATGGAAAGTGCTTTATGAAACCCATGGGGGTCTCCCTGACATCCCACTCATAAAGCTTCCCATAATTCACTCAGTGAGTTCATCACTCAGAACTTATCAATTCATCCTACTTAAGGGACCACAGTCATAATCTCCCTGGCCTTTATAACTCATACAGTTGTTAAACTGCTAACTCCCACGGTGCATTCGCTTAATATTTGACAAGTGCGTAGTGTCATTCTGCAAGTGTTTGTTCTGTTCATTCAGAGGTCCTTGCTGGCTGGGCTTGCATTTGATGCTGTCAGTATAGCCCTTGACATCTAGGTGGTGGTGAACTGCCTTGTTGAAATTCTGCAGTAGGTGTGCAGTTCGCCACCGATGCTCCACAAGATGCCCTGAAGAAATTAAGCAAAGATCCTAAGGTAGCAACTTCTAAACCCACGCCTACTTCCATCTAGAAAGATCTGGTTGGCATGGACGAGTTGGACTGAAGGGTCTGTGTCCGTGCTGTACCTCCCTATGACTCTACATGCGAACACCAACCCTTGCAAGTTCCCCTCCAAGCCCCTCATCACCACGAGTCATAGAGATGTATAGCACCAAAACAGACTCTTCGGTCCAACTCGTCCAAGCCGACCAGATATCCTATATTAATCTACTCCCATTTGCCAGCACTTGGGCCACATCCCTCTCAGCACTTCCTATTCATATTGTTATAAAGTGGAGATAGACTCCACCCCCCCCAGCCCGAGAACTAAAACCGAAACATCCAAAGAGGAGTACCTCACCCTATAATCTAGAAAAGGAGCGTGAAAAGTGGTGTAACCTGCCTTTCAGCAACTTCTATTGGTTAAATAAAATAAATCCCTGACACTCACTTTACAATCAACAAGTAACAATTTATTTATCTAACTCTAACTATGAACAAATTAACTGAACTACTAACAAACTGAAGAAATCTCTTCTATCAACAATTGCCGAATAAAGCAAGATTCTAATGTATGCTGTTCCAATAAATACAAGTCTCACTTATAAAAAAATAAAACAAAGTAGAATTCAGTCTCTCAAAATTACAGCCAGGTTATGTGTCTTCCAGAATGCTCTGTCCCCTCTCTGTCAATTCTTCTGTCAGGAATATCTTCTCTGTCGATTCTTCTGTCAGGAATATTAATTAGCTGTGCAGTGGGTACCGTTGATATTTAGACAGTGCTTTCTGTAAGACATAGAGGACACTGTGAGAGCCAGTGATTCTCTCTTGAGAGCTGAGGGCTGTTAATTCTGGTGGATGGCAGTTAGGTCTCTGGTTTTATCCAACTGTCCCTTTCTTTTATACCCTTGATGACAGATCAATATTTCTTATAACAGGATTGGCCCTATGTTGTCAATTTCATCAGATTTAAATTTAATTGGTTTTTGTGACTAAGTGACTTGTTCGAATTCATTGGCTAAAATCAAAACTTGTTGCCTTGGTTAAAAACTCCTGTTTGGCCTGCTGACTGTACGGCCTTTCAGTACAAATGTTTCAATTTGGGTGCTCTGTGTGTAATTGCAAACTTTCAAGCTGCTGCTCACAGACATCCATTTTAAATTTCTAAGCACAGAAATAAAATCACATCATCTTTTAAATGGACCACGCAATGCTTCCCCTCCACTAGCATTTTACAAACTTCTAACTTCTTCCCTCCCAATCCACAAGTACTCTACCCAACTTTGCAACAATATACCCATCCAGATGTTTTTTAAGGTGTTTTCCTCAGGGTAAGGGAGTCAAAAGCTAGAGGGCATAGTTTTAGGGTGAAAGGGGAAAGATTTATAAGGGATCTAAGGGGCAACTTTTTCACACAGAGGCTGGTGGGTGTATGGAATGAGCTGCCAGAGGAAGTGGTGGAGGCTGGTACAATTACAACATTTAAAAGGCATCTGGATGTGTATATGGATAGGAAGGGTTTAGAGGGATATAGGCCAAATGGTGGGAAATGGGACTAGATTAATTTAGGATATCTGCTCAGCATGATCAAATTGGACTGAAGGGTTCGTTTCCATGACCCTAAATGTTGTAACTGTTCCCACTTCCAATACTTCTTCTGGCAGCCTGTTCCATACACACACCACTCTCTGCGTGAAAAAAGTTACCCCTTAGGTCCCTTTTAAATCTTTCCCCTCTCACCTTAAACCTATACCCCTCTAGTTTTGGACTCCCCTATCCTGAGGAAAAGACCTTGGAAATTCACCCAATCCATGCCCCTCACGATTTAATAAATCTCTACAAGGTCACTCCTTAGCCTCCAACGCTCCAGGGAAAATCAGCCCAGCCTACTCAGCCCTTCCCTACAGCTCAAACCCTGGCAACTTGGAAATATATCAGCCATTCCTTCAGTGTCGCTGAGTCAAAATCCTGGAATTCCTTCTCGGAGGGCATTGTGGGTCAACCTACAGCACATGGACTGCAGCAGTTCAAGGAGGCAACTCACCACCACCTTCTCAAGGGGGCAATTAGGGATGGGACAATAAATGCTGGGCCCATCCAGCGACACCCACGTTGCCCAAGTGAATTAAAACATAAAGCTTTTGGCCAGATATCTGGTCAAATGGGGAAAGCCAGACGCAAGAGCTAGCTTCTGTTGCAGGGAGGTTGTGTCCACTAGCAGGTGAAACTAGAATTGGGGATGGGCTCAGCCACAAAAATAAGAGAGAGGAGCCCTAG